CATAACAAATTTTCGAACAATTTAGCAAGAGACTGACAACCATTGGAGGCAGTAACTATGTTTCTGCTGTTGAAAATGTTGGGCTTGCTAACAAGATGAGCAATATCTCAACTAGAGCCTAATCATATTGTGTATAGGTAGTGGAAACTTATGTCTTAGTTTGTTTTCTGACTGAAAGCTAAGTCCTAAAATAAAATAATGGCAGATTTCATCGTGTATACATATGCAGTCAATTCTCGTATTATTGTGTAAGTATTTTGTAAGGCAGTAAGCTAGCTCAGCCTCTTATTTATAAAAGCTTTTGTGGGTTTTGATTTTTGAGAAATGGGAAAATGTTATTCTTGTGAAAGCTACAGTCCAATCTTCCGAAGGAGTTGTGTCTTCCAAAGAGGTAGGTAAATTTTGCACATAAATACTTCTCACAGCATTTTCTGTTTTAGTATTATAGATTTTAATAGAAAGAGGCAGCTAAAACCAACGGTTGCTTGTGGTGGATTGTTTCTCTCAATCTATTTCCAAGCAATTAAATTAACAAATTGCTTTATGAGATTGTATAGAAAATATATTTTTCTGTTTTAGACTGTAAGTAGTTAAATAAGTCTTGTTGGAACAAAAAGCTCGTGAGTGTTGCTTGCATTCATTTTTCAGTTCCCCTGGATCAAGAGTGTGTTTAAGAAGTGATTATAGTTTAATCCGTGCATCTCGTAGGACCCACAACTTATAATCACTTAAAATTTCAATTTAATCACTTACCCAACATGCACAAAATGGAGGTTGAGAAGGCATCTGTATTTCACTTTCATTATGTGTGTCTGTGGCTGATTGCTTATGTTGGGGATATATGAGTATTATATACTCTTCCATTTAATGTGTCTGTTTAATTGGGCAGACTTCACTGCTAGAGTTGAAAAAGTAAGACTTGAGTTACTTTTCATTTATCTTCAAAATGTCGGGAATTATTTTCCACTCTCATCATTTCATGTACTTTTAGTGTGGGCATTTCTGGGAATAAAACAACTCTTGTGGAAAGGTTTATTATTTGTGGACATCCCAAAATGGAAATTATGTCATCCAATTGGAGTGGATAGTATCATCCCCATGAGTGATTTATTTAGTTTTCATATTGTATAAATATATCATATAATAAATTGTGTTTATTTGGTTCCAAGTTGTAGGTTGTGATTGAAGCATCATATTGTACGTTCTTTCCTCGATATTTCTTGTTGCAGACTTCAGATGGATTACTTGTTAAGAGGTCAGCAGCTAGCATGCTTAATGGAAAGAAGATTGTTCAAACAATTGTAAGTTCTGTCTTCGCTATCCCCTCTAGCCTCTAGCTTTGGATGTTTCTTATTAAACCTTGTGCATAATAAATGAGAAAAAGGCGAAAATTGCTCACTCATATAGACATTAGTCTTCTGTTATGTATCTTTGCCCGTTGATGCTCACTTGCTCTCTCCTTTTTCATTTTCTCCTCTTGCTTTTTGCAGCCTGCTAATAAGAAAGCAGCATCTGTGAAATCCAGCATCAATAAGAAAGGTGATGGAGGTGGACAGTCAAAAAGTTCCAAGGTTGTGGAGCCTGACATATAGTTGATGCACCTCCATTCACTCTTTGTTAATGCTGTTAATTGGCGAGTTTATAATAGGTTTTTAATCCACTTCGTTTTACAGCCAGCAGAAATGAGCCTTGAAGAGATTGAAAATAAATTAGGCTCCCTTATTCAAGCAGATACAGTTGCGCAGTTGAAGAGTGCTGTGTGGAAAGAGCGGCTTGAAGGTTTATATTTTAATTTGTTCTCTTTATTGTTGAGTTTACTAAAGTTGATTCTAATCTAATATTTTTTGCAATAAAAGCATAAAAATCGTCTTGTTTCATTAAGTATGGAGGTTTGAAATAAAACTTGTTTTTAGTAAGCTTTGGAGTTTGAATGGAAATATGGAATGTTCTTATTTGGACTTACAGCCTCAAGCTTGATAATGCAGTAGCTTGTAACTTATCTGTGATGGAGTCTATCTTTTGAAATACTTTTGAAATGTATAAAACATCTATGTTGGCTTCTAAATATGTCATCTATCATATCATCTATTAATTCTAAATAAATTCTATGTTCTCCTAATAATAGAGCAAGGACTTTATGAAATTGCTAATGCATCAGGATGCACGGGAAGTTTAGAATATTAATTTTATCAGGATGAATAAGTTACTGACCAAATATTATTTATAGTTTTCTCTTGTATTAAGTTACTGACCAAATATTATTTGTAGTTTAGAATATTAATTTTATCAGGATGAATAAGTTAATGATGTATTACCTCTCTTACAGAACAGCATCCCCAGATAACTAAGAAAAGAAAACATTAAACATAGCAAGTATTAGGAAAACAACCAATAAAGCCTAAGCAGACTTAACAAGTTTACTACTTTAACTCTTCAAAATGGAATATCTTCTCCTAAAAAAGTAAAGAAAATACAAAACAATNGCAGACTTAACAAGTTTTCTTCTTTAACTCTTCAAAATGGAATATCTTCTCCTAAAAAAGTAAAGAAAATACAAAACAATTTCTCCATACCTCAACATTCTTTCTTTATGACGTGACAGTGTGGATTCCTAAGAGCGAACATGATGAGCCCAGTCCATCTATCATCCACAGGAAGTGCTTCTAAGTGCTTCGAAAGCCTTCATTACTTCTCATCCTGTGAAGTTTAAGTCCTATCTCTTGATATAGTATATAAATATTTTCTGCAATACACTGATTTTATGGAAGAAACGCCCTTTTAGTTATTCACTGCTACTGCCTTCATTAGGAAAACTGATTCACTTCTAAATTTTCATAGAGACGTTTAGTTTTTCTTCTTCCAACAATTAATCATTCAAGCGTTATAATTATTATTCAATCTTAATGAAACTGGGCATAGGCTTACCTAAGGAAGTGGTTTTCTAGAGTTGCCTGATTTTGAACCACTCTGGTGCATTATTAATATTTTGGGACAAAGTGAAAAAAAAAATAATAATAGGAAAAGGAGGAATGCTTCGTGTTTCAAATTGTCAAGATTTGATAAATGTTCTCTCCCCTATTATGAAAATTAGAAGAAATATGTTATCTTTCAGTCTCTTAATTCCAAATGAGTTTATCCTCTCTTTTTGGCCTGTTATAGCTGCTCTTCGGCATTCATTACAGGATAGACCGAGCAAAATCTCAAGCAAGAGACACAATGTCGATCCTCGTTGCCATACAATTCCAAATTATTTTCCTTTTTGAGAAAAATGGAAAAGAGAACTAGGAAAATTTTGGCCTCATGGTAATTGATCTTTCTACATAATGAAATATGAAGTCATTTTCCATTTCTTTCCAACTAGAAATATTTTAATGCAATTTTAATGACAATGGTTTTCTTCTTGGTTGCACTTTTAAAATTAAAGAGGATGAATGCAAGAGTCTTTAAGCTTTGCACATGGACTCCCATGTCTTATGAGGTTTTAACTACTATTGGACACAAAATAGTTAAAATAGCCTCAAACCTTTTAATTGATACCAGTATTAGATATTAATTTTTGGTATTTTATACGATATGCTGAATTTCTTCATATGAACCTCCTCTGAAATTGATTGTTTTGCCTGGGGTGAAGAGGAGATCTCGATGATTCATTAGTGAATAGCTTCTAAACATATTCTCTTATATTTCAACCATAGTTTTTGCAATAATCTATAATGATTTTTTCTAAGGGCGTGTTCGGTTCAGATTAAAATTGAAAATATAATTCGTTATTGGGTCTCACTCGTCTAATAAAAGTCAGCTATTTTTCAATTTTAATCCGATTTTAATCTATACCAAATACACTCTAAATGAATCTTTTGAATAGTATAGATTTGATGCCTAATTTTGGAAGTTAAATATCCCTGTTTCTTTTTATATAGTCAATATGCTGAACATGGTGATGCAATATTGCTGGTTGTAATTCTTGCTTCCCGGGCACCAAAAGTTGCCACATGTAAAGCTATCAAAATTTCTAAGGGGCTTGATGGAAACCCTTGCTCAACAGATCCAAAATCATATGAAACTTGGGCTTTCCAATCTCCTCTTCGGGTGTATTACATCCTCCAACTACTTGTGTTATGTATTATTTCATCTCACTTTTCCATAGTACATAAATCTATTGTTCACATATTTTTATATAAACAGTTTGGGATCTTTTCACTTCGTATCTTGTTCAAAAAATGCAATTATCAAACATATTATAAATCTTATGAGTTTACACCTTGTAGAAAAAATTCCTTTTCGAATCTTGCAACTATTGTCATTTTTTATAGTACTTATAGTAACCAAATAATTGTTCACTCTTATTCTTAAAGATTCTTGTTCTTTTATTATTTTCTTTGCAAGTTTAAAGATTCTTGTTCTTTTATTATTATTTTTTGCAAGTTTACTTTCCTATTCAGAAGTAGCTTATCATTTTCCAAACTCTACTTCTTGAATTTAACAAAAAATATTTCACAGGCAAATCAATGGCATTTCTGTGGATGAAATTTTTGCATGTCACGTGACATATACAACTATGGGTACATGACTCAACCCATTTGGAACGCTAACGATACCATCAATATAACCAAACTCGTACATCGTACGGCCAAAAACTAGTATATATATGGATAGGATTGTGAGAGAGGGGGAGGGGGGAAGACATAGAGGCACTAAACATGGGGTGTTACAGGCACATGACTATTATAAGCATATTTGATAAAAACCTTCAAACATAACCAAAACATATGAATTTCACTCCATTCTCACGATTTCTATTGCTTGATGATGATGTCAATTCTCCTACATGGATAACATACAGGGAAATGTTACATGTACAATGGAGGATGACCAACACTCACAATAGGGGGGCCCACTTTTTTCTTTTTTTTTGGAATTTTTTAATTACGCGGGGCCCGCGCTCATATGAGAGGTTGTCAACCTCCATTATCATCCATTTATGTACAAATGGAAATGTCCTAACATATATTATATTTTTCAGAGTATACATAGTAGATTAAATTATTCTTCACTTCTGCAGGATCATGATTATGGATAAAATTCTCAAGGATCGTACCCTCCGAAGCATGTGTTGAAAAGAACTATAGTTTTGATTCTTTTGACGTACTCATATGTCAAAGAAACTAAAGCAATGCAGATCATATTCAAAGATGAAGGGAAAGCCATGGGTGGGGGGTTAGTTTATCTTTGAGCAAAAAATAAAACTTCTACCAAAGGCAGGATATAGACATTTTTTTTAGTTTATTTGTTGTTTACTTGTTTTTAAATCAAATGGAAAAATTTGTATGCACGAAAAAATCCTTGCTTCAAATAATCAAAATACCTCAGTTTTGTATTTTTCAGGTCAAATGTATGGTTTCCATATAATTGGACTTCAACAACATATTTATGAAATGTTATGGGTATTTGCTAACACAAATTGAAAGTCAGAGTAATGTGTATAAAAATTGAAAAATTTAGGGATCGTTGTTGTAATTTTTTTTATTTTTAACCACACATTCTCCAAAAAATATTATTCTAAAATATATATTTTATTTTTTCAAAAATGAGATGAAACAGTGGCATAATAAGGACAAGTCTACTTAGGTTAAACTTCTACGTCAGGTCCCTACTCCCTTGTCTCTTCTATTTGTTTTCCGACACCCCCAGTGCCCACCTAATTGATTTATGGTACACCACTATGTGGAATTTATTACCAGCCCGGCAATGGAGCCTAAGCCATGGATTTTAAACCACAATTTCGACTTATCCGATAAACATAAAAGCAAAAATTGAAATATTAATATTAATTAAACGGATTTTGCTGTGTGTTGTATGCATAGAAGAGCCTCATAGTTTAGGGACAGAAAACAGAGTGTATGTTGAGTTTTAAGCACCAAATGGCTGAATTTCTGTTACAAAATCCGTTTATACTCACTTTTATCACTATATTTCTTCTATGGCAATTCGTCAAACGGATGGCGGCCCCTACAAACAGCAAAAATCTGCCACCATCGCCGCCGAAACTCCCAATTATCGGAAATCTTCACCAAATCGGCACGCTCCCACACTATTCCCTTCAATCCTTGGCCAAAAAATACGGCCCGCTAATGCTTCTCCACTTTGGAAATGTTCCGACGCTTATCGTTTCATCGGCGGACGCCGCCCGGGAAATTATGAAAACCCATGATGTCATTTTCGCTGACAGGCCCGAATCTAGCGTTTGCCGGCGGCTTCTTTACGACATGAAGGATTTGTCAGTTGCCCCATATGGAGAATACTGGAGGCAATTGAAAAGCATATTTGTACTCCAGCTTTTGAGTAACAAAAAGGTACTGTTACTATTTCCCGTGCCCCTCTTAGATCATGATTGACCCTTGCTTCTCTTCTTTTGCACAAGAAGCTGTTTATTTCGGCAATACCATTCTTGATACTGACGGAAATGAGCAAAAACGATGTTATTTTTACTTTATTTATTTATCTGTCTTTAGTCTAGGCCAAAGATGCTCATAGTACATAAACCAGGGACGGATGTGGTGGGGGGTGGGTGGGCTGTAGCCTGGATCCGTCCCTGACATAAACTTAGCGTACTTGAGAGTTTAGAAAATTGCATGGAGTGACTTGATAAGATTTTCTAACAATGCATTTCTGTCCATAACAGGTACAATCATTCCATGCTATAAGGGAAGAAGAAACGGCCTTGATGATGGAAAAAATTAAGGAATCGTGTCTTTCTTCATCGCCTTTGAATATGAGTGATTTGTTTACGGCAATCACAAACGACGTTGTTTGTAGGTCAGCTTTTGGGAGGAAATACAGGGACGGGGCTATTGGGGAGAAATTTGTGCAGTTGATTACTGAATTTTTTGAACTTTTGGGGACTATTAGTATTGGAGAATTCATTCCATGGCTGGCGTGGATTAATCGTGTTAATGGTTTCGATGCTAGAGTAGATTTTGTTGCTAAAGAACTTGATGAGTTTCTTGAAGGAGTGATTCAAGAACACTGGGATATGGAAAATTCAAGTGGAAATGATGAAAGTAAAGAGAGTTTTGTAGATATTCTGCTTAAGATTTACAAGGACAATACCACTGGTGTATCCATTGATAGAGATAGTGTCAAAGCCATAATTTTGGTAAGCACCCCTCCCTCCCATATAACTGTAATAAAATTGAACAACTTTGTGCCTGTTTGAGCCCCGTTTTTCAGTAACATAAGAATGTATTTTGGAATAATAGATTGATGAAGAATATGCGGTTAAAAAATAAGGAAAAATTGTAAATTTGCGTGTAATATTATTTTATTTAAGAATGTGTTGTTAAAAAGAATTTAGAGAAAAATGTATTTTAAAATAATGGTTTGAAAGCTAAAATTGCTATTGAAAGAAACAAATACGTACAAGTTCCTTGTGCTTAAGATGTCATCAAAGGTTTGACACAAGCATAGTTTCCTAGGTGGTAATAGACTATGAAGTCAAGACTTTTCTCTACTTCGATTGAACCACTTCATCTGAAAATTTATGTGAGTATTAATTCTATTAGCCTTAGTTTTTTAACTTTCTTGATTATTTCAGGATGTGTTTGCTGCTGGAACTGATACCACATCCACGGTTCTAGAGTGGGCAATGACAGAACTCTTAAGACACCCAATTGTCATGAAAAAGTTGCAAAATGAGGTGAGGGGTGTTCTCAACGTAAAACATGACATAACAGATGTTGACTTAGAGAAAATGCATTATTTGAAAGCTGTAGTGAAGGAAACTCTACGATTCCACACCCCAATCCCACTACTGGTTGCTCGTGAAGCAAGAGAAGATGTCAACGTAATGGGCTATGACATTGCAGCAGGGACGATGGTCATGACCAATGCATGGGCCATTGGCCAAGACCCACTTTACTGGGAAGAACCACATAAGTTTCAACCAGAGAGATTCTTAAATTCGTCTATAGATTTCAAAGGACTCGATTTCCAGTTGATCCCATTTGGGGCCGGTCGAAGAGGTTGTCCGGGAATCTCTTTTGCAATGACAACTAACGAATTCGTTTTGGCAAATATCGTTCAGAAATTTGACTGGGAATTGCCTAATGGAGCAAAAGGAGAGGATTTGGATATGAGTGAACGCCCAGGTGTTTCTATCCGTAGAAAAGTTCCTCTTTTTGCTGTTGCAAATCAATGCTATCTCTAATCCATACTAATTTCATGCAGCATGATGGAAACAACAGTTTGCACCATAAACTAAGGCTATGTTTGATATGTATTAAATTCCTTGGAACTTGAAATTTCTTTTCCATTTCCCACCAAATGTGTTGTTTGATGTGCCAAAAATCGCTTGGAAAATGTTCTCTCCCCAAGGCTCACGCGCCTATTTTCATTGTTTTTGGGAAAAATCAATTCCCACCAATTTGGTGGGATTTGATTTTCCAGTTGACTGCACATATTTTCATTTTTTTTTTTTGTTCTTTTTTTTTTAGCAATGGAAGCAAATTTCATAACCAAGTGTAAAAAAAAAATTCACTTTCATNTAGGAAACATTTTTTTTTTTTTAACTTTTTGGCAATGGAAACAAATTTTATAACCAAGTGTGAAAAAAATTATCACTTTAATGGACAATTTTGATGCAAACGAAGGCCAAACGAACATAAAATTTAAAAATTTTTCAGGTGAAAAATTATATCAATCAAACACACTTAATTAACAATTCCCTGGAAAACAATTTTTAGGCAATTACTTTCCCTGTAATTCATTTTCTTTCCACCCATTTTCCACCATCGCAATCCAACGGACTCTAAGCATTCATAATTCTTTATGCTTTTCACACGCGCACACTCACACGAGTAAATAAATTGGAACCATCGTTTTTAGCCTGGGATTGTATGTATGTATTGTATTGTGTTGTATTATAGTTTACAAGTAAAAAATAATATTGTGTTTGGTTCTTCAATTAGGACAATGTATCACTTTTATTCCATTAACACTGAAAATTTATGAATTTGTAATGCATCGGAATAGATATATATATTATGCAAACAAACGTGTATATAATTATATAATTAAGTGCTTGTCCAATGCCATTGGAAAGCAACCCTGATAACAGTAATTGTCGGGCTGTCGGTGGCACTCGATGAGCTACGTGTGACAGAATGAGGATTGTCTCGTGTTTACGTTATTGAAACATATATGTATTTTAGCTCAGGGTTGGGTCCAAATTTTTAACGTTAATTTTTTTTTCCAAATTATTTTCAATCACACATTTTATAAGAGTCACAACTTTTATCAATTTTTCAATCACGCATTTCATCATTTTTGATCAAATTCTACTCAAAATTTTGATTTTTAGCCAAACGTAACATGGGCTTAATTTTGTGTTCAACATATTCACTGGATGCAAACAATTTTTTTTTTTTTTTCATAAAAACGCACATGCAACAATTTTTTGATAAATTAGTAATTGTATGTGCTAAATCCTTCTTGTTCCAACTCTTCTATATCTAAATACAAAATGATTTTGATCAAAATATTTATAATATAAACACATGCCAAACAAGTGCGATTTGTCGCAAATGTCTTGAGAGGAAAGGCTCGTCCCACAGACTAAATTTACCTATGTAAGTTAGGAGCTGTTCTCTTCGTGTTTCAATTTTGAATTCATTTTGTGTTTTGTGTTTTGAGTGTCCGTTTTTCAAATTGCTGAAAATGCGTTCCTTTTATCATTCCGAAAAACTGTTTCTCAAAATAAAAAAATGAAAAACGCGTTTACTTTGAAATTTTGAGAATATTTTTTTTATAATATTTTATTCAAGAAATCTGATTATTCAATAAATTTTAATAATTTAATGTTAATATAGTATTAAATAACATATAAATTTTGAAATTGGTGAATTTTAAAATATTTTTTTGAAGATATANAAAATGTGTTCTTTTTTTCATTTTGGAAAACTTTTCTGAAAACATAAAACTAGAAAATGAGTTTACTTTAAAATTTTGAGAATTTTTTTTATAATATTTTATTCAAAAAATCTGATTATTCAATAAATTTTAATAATTTAATGTTAATATAGTATTAAATAACATATAAATTTTGAAATTGGTGAATTTTAAAATATTTTTTTGAAGATATAAAAAACACAACTTAAATTAAATTTGGCAAAACAGTTTAATCGATACGATTACAAGTTTATGTGTCACGACAAAACAAGAAGACACTGAACAAAACTAGGACAAAAACGTTTAAAGGAACGAAAAGTGTCACATGGAAAAGGTCTGTGCATGCAGGAGCGTGTTTATATATATGGATAGGATTGTGAGAGAGGGGGAGGGGGAAAGACATAGAGGCACTAAACATGGGGTGTTTACAGGCACACGACTATTATAAGCATATTTTATAAAAACCTTCAAACATAACCAAAACATATGAATTTCACTCCATTCTCACGATTTCTATTGCTTGATGATGATGTCAATTCTCCTACACAGATAACATACATGGAAATGTTACATGTACAATGGAGGATGGCCAACACTCACAACAGGGGGGCCCACTTTTATTTGAATTTTTTAATTACGCGAGGCCCGCGCTCATATGAGAGGTTGTCAACCTCAATTGTCATTCATTTATATACAAATGAAATTGTCCTAACATATATTATATTTTTCAAAGTATAATTAGTAGATTAAATCAATCTTCACTACTGCATGATCGTGATTATAGATAAAATTTTCAAGGATCGTGCCCTCCGAAGCATGTGTTGAAAAGAACTATAGTTTTGATTCTTTTGACGTACTTATATGTCCAAGAAACTAAAGCAATGCAGATCATATTCAAAGATGAAGGGAAAACCATGGGTGGGGGGTTAGTTTATCTGACAATCTCCCATAATCCCCATCACATTCTTATCGGTTACAACCATAATCATTAAAAAATGCAAAAGTTGAACCCCACTACCGAGTTTTGTTTAGCATAAATTGCAAATTCGGTCTCTAACCTTTGCCCAAACTTGTGATCTTTTCCCTAACCTTTTCTTGTCTAGTTTTTTCTCCAAACTTTGATCGATTTTGCTATAAGTACATAATGATTTATATACAAATGATACTGTGAGATATGTCTGAATCAAAATTTCTTTAATCAAATAACAAAAAAAAAAAAAAAACTTGTATATGAATCATTACGTAACTGGCTTCCACGTGGAGTGTGAGCCTTAAGTGACTTTTTGTTATTTCCTAACTGGCTTCCATGCTCAACTAAAAAGGAAATTAGAAAAACGATAAGCCCGATAAAATCACGTCACAAATCCCACCCCAAAAAATCATACTTTGGGATGTGACGCGTCTTCAATAATTAGTTGCATATGTACTAAGCAGGCTATGTGAAATAACTAATAAGTAACTTCAAGAAATGAATCAGGAGAACCAGCTATTAATGATTTTGGTCAGGGAGTAAGCAAATAGAGGTGGCCATGTCTTGCAAATTCAAATTATAAGGATAGAGAGCTGGGACGAGAACAACCCAACTTATTGCGAACTTAACGAGTTTGGTTAAAATCAAATCAATTTTTTATTAAAAATGATGAAACGTATGGTTGAGAAGTTGATAAAAGTTGTAGGTTTTAAAAATGTGTTGAAAAAAAAAAAGACGTGTGCAAAACATAGGCTAGATGTTCATGTGAACTAACATCTGCATTCTATATTTGAAAGATTCATACAAGATTTGAAACATTTTATTTTAATTAAGACCGAAATGCATGGCAATTTTTTTATATTACGTGTCTTGAATGTTTCTTAACCGATTATTTTTCTTCCTCTCCTTTTTTTTTCGTTAGTTGGAGAAAAGTTCAGACGGACGCAATCGAGTCAACTGAGATTCAAATTGAGTCGTTTGGACTCAGAAATGAACAAATAGGTAAAAGATTGAAGAAAAATATCAAACAAGAAAGCGTGTGATGAAATTTTAATTCATAAAATCAAGTGGGGGATTTGTGATTCAGTCAACATCCTATTTCTTTGAGAATAGTGATAAAATAATTGGTCCATTTTTGTTTTATTCAAGACTTGTTTGAGCCTCATTTTATCGAAAATTCATTTTGAATCACATATTTTTCAATAAAATAATTTTACGCAAGTCCAATAACTACTTCGCTGGTACCTTTTTCTCTTTTTAGTTCGCTCCGTGTCTTATGCATTTGGAAAGGATAGAATGACGACAAGAGGAGTTAAATGGTGAATTGGGAACTGAATCGTATTATACCAAAACTGGGAGCGAAAAATGGAATTGGATCACGATAAATGGGTCATTTTACTGCAAAAAACCTTTTCTTGTTTTAAAGGGAAAATTGCAACAGCGGTCTCTAACCTTTTCAATTTTCGCGAACTTTACTCTAGTTTTCAATTTGTGTCAGCAAAGGTTCCCTACCTTTCATAAATATGCAACTGAGGTCTAACTTGACGAAAAACTTTCAATTTGTTGACCAAAAGTCAAAAGATTGGCCAAAATTTGACCAATTTTAAAAGATTAATTAAATTTATATTTTATAGAATAAAACGATTAAAATAAAATAACTAAATTAAAAAGTAAAAAATGAAAACCAAAATCAAAAGTCATATTTCCCATCCCACCCCAAAATCAAACCCAAGAAACTGGTGGTCTGTCACTCCCCGATCATCGCCGTCTCCATCTACAAGATGCCGGCCACTGCCTAATGCTACCATCTCTCCCTTTCCCACCACCACTAAACCACAAGAAATCCATTATCCAGGTTCCCAAGCAAAATTCAAAACCTTCACCTGAGAAATCAAAACCAAAACCTTCACCTCTCGAAGCTTAAATAACTTCTATCAAAGGCAGGATATAGGTTGGGAGATTTGGGCCAAGGGTCAAAAATTGGTGGTGATGGAGGAGAATTTGATCGAGGAGGTGCAAGTTAGCAAGACGGTGGAGGAAATAGCCTCAAAGAAATAGGAGGAAAAATTGGTGACTATTTTTTTAGTTAATCCCCACGTACACGGAAAATTTCACTGGCCATTACCTGGTTTCTCACATGGGTTGGGCCCCACCCATGAATAAAAAATAGAAAAAAAAAAACCACCCCACTGTGCATGTGAGTGGCCTGTGAATTTCACGGGCTGTACTTGT